TCTCTCTCTCTCTCTCTCTCTCTCTCTCTCTCTCTCTCTTCTCTCTCTCTCCCTCCCTCCCTATCTTATACTGTCTTTCTCTCTTGCATTCTCTCTCAATCACTCTCTCTCTCTCTCTCTCTCTCTCATTTTCTCTCCCCCTGAGCATATATTATTCAGTTGTTGTTATTGTCTTGTTTCTTGTTTTCCTGTCTATGTTCAAATCACTTTCCTACGTCTTCTAATTTATTTTTGATTACAGAGTAATTAGTAAACACATGGTGGATATCTGTGGGACTTCAACTTTCTTGTAGTCAATCATATTATTGTGAATATAGTAGCATTTAACCTTCTAGCGACATTTCATTTCTTTCTATCTAGTTCATTTTTTTCTACGGGTTTCACACGTTTTCATTAGTGAAAATAAAATTTAGCGGTAGAAGCTTCAGCGTAGACATAACACGCATATCGGGTTTTGACATCTGGTCTTGTGTTTCGCACACTGCTGCCCTCTGTGATGTTGCTATGGTGACGGTTGCTGGGTAACACACTCGCGTTTCCGTAGAGGCAAGCTCCGACGGCGCCGGGAGTGAAGGTAGGGGGCGCTGTGAGATGGCGCCTAATCGCTAGTTTGTTTGTTGGTCGCTAGGTGGACATTTCAGCATACATTCGTTTGCATGTTCGCTTGTCTCATTGCAAATTCCTCGTTAAAATGTCGTGTAAGTGATTCTATAATCGATCGCTACTCAACGGTCGTGTAATTTTGTTTTATTTTTACATTTAATTCACGATAAATATTTCGTAGTTTGTTTTATATTGTTTAATCATACATTTGTCTGGCATTAATTTTTCGTGTTAACATAGATCTGCACCTAGACCCGTTACAGTTGTGTAAAAGAATTAAATAATGTAAAAGAAATACTTAGTAAATATAAATGAATGTGATAAACGTTAATGAAATACGTAACTCACGGTCACGGTCGATCGAAGGGAAAAAATCTGCGGAAAAAAATCGTCGATGAAAAAATCGACGAAAAAACGTTTGCGCCGACACGTGGCTCCATCTGTCTGCAGGCCGCGTCGCGGGAGCAGGCGACAGTGCTGGCACCGTTCGTGCCGACGGGAGTGGACCAACTACCGCTGGCGATGGGGGCCGTAGTGACTGTGCTGAAGAAAAGTCCGAACGGGTGGTGGCAGGGGGAGATACCGGTGAGTGAGGGAGGAGGGGAGGGGAGGGAGGGTACACTCACATCGCAATTTATTCTCATTTGCTCTTCTCCCCCCTCTCCCCTCTCCCTCTCCCTCTCCCTCTCCCTCTCCC